GCTCAATGGTACAGAGTCCTGGGATTCGTAGTTTGCAAAGGTTTCATTAGTTGCCAACTCAAAGGTTAGATCTGGAAAAAAAAACCACCATTTGCTCAGAATATAACTATTCATCGGAATGGCTAATGATGGGCCATTGCGCTCAACCCAACCGAGCCAATAATTGACGTTTAAATTGAAAACCTCTTTCTGTTAATTGCATTTTCTGGCGTCTTTTGCCATCTTTGACCTTCCCTTTTTCTTTGCTATGAAGCTTGTAATCTCGGATTATCCTAATGACCCTCTTTATTTACTTAACGGTCATTAAAGCGGCAATGTTTGGACGCCATTGCTTTGATTTCGTTTAGGTTTTGGGTCATTTGAGCGGGGATCCTCTAGCACGGCAAACATTACGACTGCATTTACAACTTCCACAATTCCTAACAACCTCAGGTCCTCTCCTCTGTTTAAAAGCCTCCAACGAAGGAGCCTCCACCCCACTCCAGAGCAGAGAGTTCCACTGCTGAACAGTGACCTTGTGGGCCATCCAGTCCAACCCCATTCTGCCAAGAAGCAGGAATATTGCATTCAGATCACCCCTGACAGATGGCCATCCAGCCTCTGTTTAAAAGCTTCCAAAGAAGGAGTCTCCACCACACTCTGGAGCAGAGAGTTCCACTGCTGAACGGCTCTCACAGTCAGGAAGTTCTTCTTCAAGAAGCAGGAAATTGCATTCAAAGCACCCCTAACAGATGGCCATCCAGACTCTGTTTAAAAGCCTCCAAAGAAGGAGCTTCCACCACAATCTGGGGCAGAGAGTTCCACTGCTGAACAGCTCTCACAGTCAGGAAGTTTTTCCTCATGTTCAGTGGAATCTCCTTTCCTATAGTTTGAAGGCATTGTTCAGTGTCCTAGTCTCCAGGGCAGCAGAAAACAAGCTTGCTCCCTCCTCCCTATGACTCCCTCACATATTTATACATGGCCTCATCATGTCTCCTCTCTTCCTAGTAGCCAGAAATCTGAGGCTGAGAGAGTGTGACATGACCAAAGTTACCCAATGTGTTTCAATGAACAAGTAGATATCTGAATCCTAGTCTCCAAATTTGTAATCTAATGCTCCAACCATTACGCAATGCTTGTTCTCTGTTGTGTATAATTCTAGTTGCTGAGTGATATTCCACTTTCAGATAAATGCTCACTCTTTTATCTGCAAAGGAAAAATGCAACAAATGAATACTCTCTTTTGTATTTACTTGATCAGGAGACCAGGAAGTCATGCCCATTCTATGCTGAAACCTCAACAAAGTGTGTTGCAGGAAAAACAGTACTATGTGAACATCCTGGAAACATTGAAATCGAAGATCCCATTGCTGTATTTCGGGAAACAATAATTAATTTAGCATGACACCATTTAACTGCCAATATGATTAACAGGTTTTCTCTAAGAATCTATAGGTCCTCCAAAGTGACTCTGTGGCCAGTTTCTGCAAGGGGTTAATCTTAAATTGCACTAGAGCCAGTATGGGCAAACTTTGGCCCTC